ATAGAACTCCGTAAAAACCTAGACGGATCCTAGCCGCAACTCCCCTAGGGCCCGCTCTATAGTATATCGAAGCAGGAGCTCTTAGTCTTACGAAAGTCACTCGACGAACTCCTAAAGAAGGGATTTATTAGATCCGCGAACTCCGAGGCGGCGGCGCCCGTATTATTCGTTAAGAAGCCCGGCGGTAGGCTCCGGTTCTGCTACGACTATAGGGCGCTTAACGCTCTAACGAAGCAAGACAGATACCCCCTCCTACTAATCCCGGACACTATAAGGAACCTTACGGAGGCCCGGTAGTTAACTAAGGTTAACGTAGTCTCGGCCTTTTACAAGATTAGAATAGCAAAAGGATACGAGTATAAGACGGCCTTCCGGACTAGGCTAGGCTCGTTCGAATAGCTAGTATGCCTGTTTAGTTTGTCCGGAGCCCCGGCTACATTTCAACGGTATATTAACACTCTCCTATAGGAGTATCTAGACGACTTCGCGTTAGCGTATATAGACGACGTAGTTATCTACTCGAGCGGGTTAAGGGAAGACTATTTCCGTAAGGTAAGGGCGGTTCTTAAGAAGCTTTAGGACGGAGGCCTTTACCTCGATATTAAAAAGAGCGAATTCGCCTAGAAAAAGATTAAGTACCTAGGATTCATCGTCTACGCCGACGGAGGAGGAGTGTTAGCCGACCCCGAAAAGGTAGAAGCCGTATAAAAATAGATAGCACCTAAGACCTAAAAGGAAGTTCGTCGTTTCTTAGGATTTACGAACTACTACCGTATATTCGTACCGAACTATTCTAAGATCTCCGCACTACTAACCGCGCTTACCGGTAAGGGAACCCCGTTCTTCTAGGGAGAAGAGTAGGATAAAGCGTTCGAGACGCTAAAGGACAAATTCTGTCGCGCCCCGGTACTTGCCTAGTAGGACCCGTCCCTTCCTACCTTTCTTAAGACGGATTACAGCGGGTTCGCGATTAGGGGCGCCCTCGTCTAAGAAAAGGCGGGAATCCGCCGACCGGTAGGCTTCTTTTCGAAGAAACTAAATAAGGCGGAGATCAATTACGATATCTACAATAAGGAAATGCTCGTAGTCGTATCTAGTATTAAGTTTTAGGACTCCGAGCTGAAATTATATAGCCCCTTTACGATTTAGACGGACTATAAGAACCTAGAATACTTTATAGTAAAGCGCTAGCTGTCCGAAAGACAGATCCGATAGTAGGAAGAACTAGCGAAGCACTAGTTTACCTTAGTCTACCGGCCGGGAATCGAAGCTATTCTACCGGATACCCTATCGAGGAGAGAACAAGACACGTTAGGCTAAGACGACAAGCTTTCGAGGTTCCGGAGATTCTTAGAGCCGGACCTCTCCCTAAACTAGCCGGAAAGCGTCTAGATTTCTAGTGCTACTATCCGTAGCTTCCCGCGTATAACAAAGGCGAGCTCGGTATCCCTACTCGCGAACGAAACGGAGCCCGCGTAGCCTTCGCCGGAAAGCGCTAAACTATTCTAGGACCTAGAGATAAACGATATATAGAAGAGCATTGTCGAGAAAGATACGGTATACTAGACGGTAGTACGGAAAGTCCGTAAGGGGTACAGAACATTGCAACCGGAAATTAAAGCAAAGATTTAGATCGGGGATTGTATAATAGACCCTAAGGGGTTCCTTCGCTACCGCGGCAAGCTCTAGGTTCTAGGAGCCCTAGCGACGACGGAAACCGAATATAAAGATATAGGGGCCGAGGAACTATAGTAGGACGTACTACGTACGAAGATTATCTAGTCGATCTACGACTCGCCGCTCTACGGCTACCCCGGCCGGGATTCTACTGCTTCTATACTAGGTCGCGACTTTTATTAGCCGCTATAGTCGAAGCAGGTGCGGCAATTCCTACGGAACTGCAACTATTGTAGACGTAATAAGGTATAGAGGGAACACAAACACGGCCTCCTAAAACTACTACCGGTACCCGACCGTTTCTTCTAGGAAATCTCGATAGACTTTATAACTAACCTACCGGAGTCGGATAGGAACCGGTATCTATAGGTAATTAAAGACTGCCTTAGCAAATAGATCGCCCTTATCGGTACTCCCTCTATAAAGGTAGAGGAATGCGCGGTTTTGTTTCTAAAATACTAGGTTAGGCATTACGGACTGCTACGTACTATTACTAGCGATAGAGGTACGAATTAGATAAGCACTTTCTAGAAGGAGATATATCGACTACTTAGCGTAAAGCAGAGGTTAAGCTCCGCCTACTACCTATAAACCGACGGGGGTCCGGAGCGCGCAAACTAGGATATATAAGCGTACCTACGGAACTATATTAACTAGATATAGTCCGATTGGAACTAATAGCTTCCTACGGCGGAACTAGCGTTCAACGGTAGACACTAAGCGGGGCTAGGAATAAGCTCTTTCTTCGCGACTTACGGTTACGAATCTACCTCCCCCGTTACGTTAGAAGAGGACCTAGCGATCGACCGACGGCTAACTACGGCGAAACGGGCGGAGGAGTTCGTAGACAAGATTAAGAAGATCTTAGATCTATACTAAGTATAGATAGCGGAAGCCGTATAGAAACAAGAGGATAGCGCGAATAAGACTAGAACTCTAGCGCCGGTATATCGTATCGGTAACAAGGTCTAGCTCGACCTAAGGAACTACTAGACTAGTAGACTAAAGAAGAGCCTCGACTCGAAACACGCTAAGTATACGGTAGAAGAGGTATTGTCGCCTATCTTAGTACAACTCTCGGGGATACCTAGCAATATTTACCCGGTATTCTATACCGACCTTCTAAGACTCGCGAGCCGGGACCCCCTTCTAAGACAAGTAACCGACGACGAATAGCCGGACCCTATCTTATTCGAGACGTATAAAGAATAGCAGGTCGAAGAAATCCTATACGCCCGGAAAAAGAAGCGGGGCCGAAGACGAGAAGCACTCGTAAAATAGAGCGGGTACTACGAGCCTACGTAGGAACCCCTAGACTATATCGCGGATACCTCCGCGCTAGACGACTTCGAAGCGAAATATAGACAAATCGAGAAGAACGACGGGCCTCTAGGAGATTAGGAGAAGAGAGGAAAACGGAAGAAATAACGCGGTAACCTAGAGTTTTCCCGCGGAGTAACGGATTTATAGATTTTAAGGACTTTTGCTAACTTCTAGAGTTTGGATTTTCTTAACTTATTCGACTTAGGTTTACTAGAATAGTAAAGGAGAGAAACATAATTTAGGATTAAGAAGAATTTCATTTAGGTATTTATAAGTAAGTATCGGGTCTCCGCCCGAAATTAGAAGGTTACCTTAGGACTATAATAAAAGTAATAATAACATATCCGAAACCACCTAGAGCCTACTAGAAAACCCCCGGAAACCTTCACTCCTCTAGCGGACCTATACGATTATTGCCGAGACGGAGGGCATTTAGAACGCTACTAGAAAAGAGAGGTTAGCGAAAGAAAGTCGAAGGGTAACGAGGAACTTACGTCTAACTCTATTAAGCTACGACATTAGCGACGGTGTTCGTTACCTCCGAGGCGATAGCGCTAAAACAACCGGTTAGCGGGGGTTTTTATCGCGGGAAACGGGAATCTTACCTAGATAATAACCCCTACGGCTAGAGAGACTTAAGGGCTTTCTATACCTTAAGAACCTTAAGAAGCTCGGAGTGCTTCTCGGCGATATTAGCGCGGGTCGCGCGGGTATAGTTAGCGTAGGCTACGTAGGCTATTTAAGGACTAAGTAGTTAGCGAGCGATTAGGTAAGGGAATCGCGATATCTTATAGTAGGGCGCAAGCAATTCTCTTATAAGCGCAATTAGCGTAAGCTCTCGAGCTAGAAGGCTTAGGAAAAGTTAGCGGACCCTACGATAAATTAGCCGGAAACCTTATAGCTTAGTCGGCGTAGTCTTCGCTAGAGTTATAGCAACTAATATAGTAAATTCGACGAGCTATCTACGAAAAGTTAATTTTGCGAAGGGAACCGAGGAGGAAGGGGAGGGACTTGCGGTGTTAGTAGTAGTAGTAGTAGTAGAGGTATATATAGAAAAAAGAAGAAGAAGAAGAAGAAGGGAGAAATATTAATACTTATAGAAAGCGATACGGAAGTAAAGGTCGCGAAAGCAACGGAAGGCGCGAGTATAAGTAAGGCGCGTTTTAGGAAGGGGTAAACAGGTAAAAGAGCGCGGTTTAGTAGTCGCGAAGAAAGTTATAGCCCTTAAAGCCTAGGATACGGCAACCCCGACCGGAAAGTAGCGGAAACCCCGATCGCGAAGGAGGAAACTACGAGCGCGTTACTCTAGAGAAGCTTAGATAAGTATAGATCTAATAGTTGAAGTAATAGCGATAGAAACTACGGGGGGCTTTCTATCCCCGCTAAGGAAGGGGAGGAGGACGGGGGTAATATAAAGGGCTACGCCCTAGGTAGAAAGCGCTAGCCTTAGGCATTCGGCCTACGCGACTCTAACCTACTACTTAGCGCTTAGCGCACCGCACAAAACTATTCGGATTCACGTAGATAGACTTAGCTCTTTATCGAACCTATTAAGTCTTACATCTAGTATCTACGTACGCGTTGCTTACCCGTAACACTCCTTCTATATTCTTCTACTACCTAACTTCTTATAGTTAGTAAAGGAATACAGCCCCTGCTAGTTGTTAATATAGCGTCTTATATGCTTTTAAATGGGCCCATTTAAAAGCACGGTCTAGGTCTACGAGTCGATAACTCGCAGGGGTAGAAAACCAGCCTACGAAGGATGCGGTAGTAACCTTCGTATCCACCTTATTCGCCGACAGCGTGAAATTGGTAGCTTCTGAAGGTCCCTAATGAGGAAGGAACGAAGTGAATGATGAATGAATCAGCAGTCCGCGGAACTCATTCGGAATCGGGATTTCTGTTCTGATGAGGGAGAGTCAGCGAAAAAAAAATCACGTGAGTTGTCATGTTTGCCGAACACCTCGGCACAGTATCTTCACCTCCAATCCATGCAACCAGTGACATTCTTCCGATTATTATTACTTCATCACGATCTGTTTCTCATTACATCTATACCATACCAACCACACCATTAACCCACCTATCGACACCCCACCATCTCCACCTCCACCAACCAACCAACCAACCCACCGACCCTCATCCCCACCCCCTCCATCGCCCACAATGTCAAAACAACTCACCGCAAACGAAGTAAAAGCCCACAACACCGTAGAAACAGGCCTCTACATAATCATCGACAACGACGTCTACGAAATGGGCCGCTTCGTAGACGAGCATCCAGGAGGAGCGAAAATTTTGAAGAGAGTGGGGGGGAAAGACGCCAGCAAACAATTCTGGAAGGTAAGTGGTCATATATCCAAACCAGAGAATGGATTCTTGGATCGGGGATGAGAATCTTTGCTGAGAATCTTGGATTGGGAAACATATAGTATCATAATGAGAGTGTTTTGAAAAAGTATGGGCCGAAATTAAAGATTGGGACGGTGAAGGAGGGGGCGAAGCTTTAGGACTGACGGTAGGCGAGTTGGAAGGTAGAGGGAGGAGGATGGGGAAGGAGATGATGATGATAATGATGGATGAGAGAGATACCAATACCACGTAACCAGCATATTTTTAGAAGGCGGTGGCGGCGCTGTATGTATGATACAGGTCATTGCATATTCATGTTCATTCTTGAAGGACTAAGGAGCAGGAAACCAGTGGGTATAGTATCAAACCAGAAAACTCCAGGCTATGCATGACTTGAAAGTCGAAAATCCATTCCTCTCTCATCATAAATCCCTTGCTCTGCATCATCCTCATGAGCACCACGCTTTTCAAGACTCCTTCTCTCCAACCCAAATCTCGATATCAAGCTAGACCAACTCGCCCTTCTCCGTTTCGATGGTCTGCGTACGACACAAGTCAGCAAAATCATAACACCATTCATTCACTCACTCACCTAGAACTCCTCCCCGACCAAAACCCCCGCACAGACCACCCCCATCCCAAAAACCCCATGATAATGCCTCCCAACAAACACCAAAACATCCGCATCCCACCCATGCCAAGAACTCGCCCCTCCATGCCCAAAAATCTTCGTCACAACTCTTCCCCTCAACATATGTCCCTCCATCCCCCCATCTCGATCCGCAAGAACATAAACCCTATTCTCCTTCTTCTTCTTCTTCTCCTCCCGCCTCAAAACAAACCCCATCCAAACATTCCCGAAAAATCCACAACCCGTGCTTAACATGTTCTCGACGTATGGTAACGGCCAGGAAAGATCTCGACTGGGAAGATTGCGGAGCAAGTCCGTGAGAAATGGGTGGTGCGGGCGAGAGAGGATGAAAGCGTTGTTCACGCCGGCCGGGTATGCGGCGGGAGTGAGGAAAGGTAAATGGGTGAGAGTTGGGACGCCGGTTTCCTTCTCGAGGGGCGCGTCTAGTGCTACGCGACATGTGATGTCAAGGTCGAGATAGACGCCTCCGAAATGGTGGAGGAGAGCGTAGCGGAGGACGTTGGCGCGTTGGATGTTTTGGCCGTAGTGGATGTAATGTGGGTATATCTCTGGGTAGTGGGATTTCATGAATTCGTGAGCTTCGTTGTCGGTCCATATGTGTGTTTTCCAGGATGGATGGAGAGATTTGCAACTCGCAATCGCTGGGGCGTATTTTGATAGATTGGCGTTTGGGTGGCCTTCGGAGAGGAAGATTTGGTGGATGAGTTTTGGGATGGGGGAGGGGAGGGATACGTCTGTTCGTGGAGTGCTGGGGCTTGGATATCGGAATAGCACGTCTGGGTTATGTTTGATGTAGGAGTGAAATGCGCTGTATGTTCTTGCAATTTCTCCCAGGTCGCGGATGTGTTGTCTGAGTAATAGAAAGATGGAAAGTGTGCCTAGCAGCAGCAGCGAAATCAAGTACCTCGTCCTCATTTTGCTTCGTGATTATCTTCCAGCTCCTGTAAATGTGTTGTTGTCAAGCATGCCGGAAAGAGACTACGATATTGAAAGCGTAGAAAGCACGACTTTTACACCTACCGCGCAGACGGACAGCCGTCATCATCATAGCAACTTACCTCCGTGGGAAAGGCCATAGCAGACCGTCACGCGGTATCAGTGACATAGCAACAACAAGTCTTGCGCACGTTCCCGGACATGCCGTACGCAAAAACCAAGAATCGTGCGAACTCGTGGTAGCTTATATCCTGCTGCTGCGTTGGCGCAAAGAAGTGAGGTGATGTCAGCCCACTGGAACCAATGCGTTTTCGAAAAAATCTTTGGCGCCCGCGGAGCGGATCTGCCTTGCCGGTGCGCTCCGACATCCACAGTCCTGAAACTAAAATACGACACGTGTTAAAGACCAACATTCTTATATTCTAAGCTTCACCGGTACGGCGGTGGAAGGGTGATCTGCAACTGATCCCGGTTCGTAGCTTACAACAGCTTATATTAGATGCTGGTTTGTACTGCTTATGTAATGGGAGAGGTCCGGCGTTCTGGGACGACATTTATCATGCTCCGCTAGAGCACAAATGTCTTGGACTGAACGAGTGGCACCTCGCTGGTTACATATTAGGCCATGTCATGTGCCACTTCTGGCGTATCTAAGCTGTTGATCAGGCACAAAATCAAATCTATGCGGTGAGAAAATGGCATTATTGGGTTCAAGTCATGAAAAAAAAACCGGCTGGTACATTTGCTGTCGAAGGTCATACTGGTGCCAAATCCACCTCAGTTCATGCTGAGTATACCCAAGCTCTCAACGCATAGCTGCAGAGTCTGCAGTCTTGGAGAGAGACAGATCTGTCGTGGATGACGGCAGAGTTTATGGCATAATCGGGGTCTCAGGCGGTGGGCGTCAGGCGAGAAATGCAAGCCAGAATTCGCGGCACATCTAAGGGCCTTACTCTGATGCCCAAGACTGCTGACTGCTGAAATGGTCCTGGATGACTGCATCCGGAATACATCGCTGGCCAGAGCATTTTTGGCGCAAGTGCTTGTCACGGCTTGGCTTTCGGAGTGTGCCGGTCCTCGTCGGTCGCATATAGGTGGACGACGTGGACGACATGAGCGCAGGCCACTCTCCAATGGCGGGCCGCTTGCAATGACCTTGATGTATCGAAGGCTACCAAGCCTGCGTGGAAGCTTCCACGATAGTCGAGTGGGTTATGCTCTTGGTCAAGAGCACGACTTCAGTGGTCGGCCGTTCCATGCACCATCCAATGGTTGTCTGTACGCATGCGCTGGTGATGAGAGAGTCTTGATTCTCGGCATCGATACGAGTATGTCGAGCTGACGGCAGGGTTGGAGGTCATTTGAGGTGAATAGACCGTGGTGCCACCTGAGATAGCAAACTTTGTATGCTGGCCGTTCGAAGCACATGACTGCATCGACTGTCGCCAAGCTACTGCGCGGTTCACTTGGCAACATCGATATCCATGTCATGGCCCCCGTTCGGGATGTTGACTTGATCGACACCGCTATCGGCAGCCGAGCTGTAATGCGCATGCAAAAGTTCTGGCGAACGGCCGACAGATGGCGACGAGCGTGGCAGGTCATCGAAGACCAAGTCAGCATCGTCGGGACCTTTGGTGCGCCTTCTCAGCCTGCGCTTGGTGGACTCTCGATCCTGATCAGGCATGGCGTCGAAGTCAGTGACCTCGGTCTCGCTCTTGACGCTCTGGCTGTGCGATCTTTTGAAGAGTCGTGAATCTGCTCGCTTCTCTCGGGTCCTCCGTTGCCGAAGCCTTTCAAAGACGGCATCTCGATCGTCCCCAAAGCGGACTTGCGACATTTTCCGGGTCAAATTTTCTGCTTCGGTGTCATGGTCGTCTGCAGAGGCAGTATGCTGGTCGTCGTATAGACTGTCGCCATCACTGCTGTCGATTTCCTCGACTTCGTCTGGGTTGACGACATCCAAGTCTCCCATGTAGCCTGCATCGCCTTCGGCCAACTCCTCGACTCTGATGCTGTCGGTCGCAATGCGCTTGTTGGGCTTCTTGCCCGGACTGACGGTTTCGGTGGGGTGCAGCGAGCCTGCGTTGGAAGCAGGCGAGTCGCTCCTCTCCAGGCGACTGCGACTGCGCTTGCTCGATTTACGTGGACGCGGAAGCGAGAGGGTGTATGGAGGGGTGTGGGGATGGCCTGATAAGCTGTTCTCTGAAGTGAATCCCGAGGTGGAGTACAATGTCTCCAGCATGCCTGCCATAGCGGTTTTGCGGCGTGCTTGCCTCGGAGGTGTAGTGTCTATATTTATCGGTATAATTTTATGTATGCCCTTCTATGCGATGAGATGACGAAATCTTTCTTTCAGCGCGCGATCGGGGGCCCCACGTCGGCCAGTCTGTGATGCCTCTTGACAATGTAATTGAGTCGCTGGTATGGAGGCAAGCGCATCTTCGGAGGTGTTGGAAGGAGGTGTTGGTGGGTGAGTGTGGGAGAGTAGTGAGGAAGGGAAGGGGGAGGTCGTCTTATCTGACACCCGGACGTTTCGTGTTGCGTTGCAAAGCGGGATAGAGTGCGGTGCTGTGAGCGAGCGTGCGTGCGCTGTCAAAGCCGGCGAGCGGCGAACTGTACGACTAATCAACGGGTGTCCTGCCAGGCTGACACTGCTCGTTCTACTCGACGCACACGCACACGGCGAACAATAATTCGCGGAGGCCTTGCTTGGGCAGCAGGATGCGCTGTGCTGTGGCTCGGGCTAAGGGTAGGGAAGTCCCCAGCACTCGACACAGCTTACAGCTTACAGCTTACAGCTTACAGCTTACAGCTTTTCGCTGTCCGATGGGCAAAACGTGCCGCTCGCCGCCAGTAATTGGAGGGGATACGTTCTGTGTGCCTGCCAACTGCCGGCGGCGTGGTTCAACGACACTGCGGCGGCACGCTACTCCGCTGCAGCTGCTGGGTGGGTGAGTAGTCGTGCAGTATGCCTGACAGTACCGGCGAAAAAATAGAATAGCAGCTGTGTGTGTGTGACTGCGAGAACGGCTTCGGCTTCGTGCTGGTCGGAAAACTTCGGTCCAAGTCAGCGTCCATCGCTCGCTATGCAGTGCGAGCGGCTACTTCCACTCCGCTTCTGCCGTGCGCTCGTATGTATAGCCTGCCATACTGTGTCGACGGCGTGTCACCACAGAGCGCAAGCGCATACCGACAGACACAGTAGTGAGCACAGGCAAGTGACGTTGTGCCTCGCCGTGGAGATCAAATGACGGCATCAAGTAGAAAAGAGAAAAGAGAATCTGCACGCGTGTCGGCGCTGTCTCCGCCCATTGATTCAGCGTCAATCAATGTCGCCGTCAATGTTCATGGTCCCTGGAACTGCTGTTTCTTGGCACCAAGTGCTTCCAGCTGTTCAACACGCCCGACATTGACCACCCACCCAGCGCTACTCACCACCACAACTCTAGGCGACAGCGACTTTAGAGAAGTCCAGGAAGCTCACTCGAATCTCACTGTCGCCGACTTCACAACAGCTCCTGGTCAATCCGCATATGCCTGGAGCTGAGGCTCCCTCCACTCCCTGAAATATGCCTTCCTCCACCACCATGCTCACCAAATTCGAGTCCAAATCGTCGCGCGCAAAGGGCATCGCCTTCCACCCGAAACGACCATGGATCTTGGTGTCACTCCATTCCTCGACGATCCAGCTATGGGACTACCGAATGGGCACGCTGATAGACCGCTTTGAAGAGCACGATGGGCCTGTGAGAGGCATTGACTTCCACAAAACACAACCTCTATTTGTTTCTGGGGGTGATGACTACAAGATCAAGGTCTGGTCATATCAGACGAGAAGATGTCTCTTCACGCTGAATGGCCATCTGGACTATGTCCGTACGGTCTTCTTCCACCACGAGCTCCCCTGGATCATCTCCAGTTCCGACGATCAGACCATTCGCATATGGAATTGGCAGAACAGATCCTTGAGTAAGTGAGACAGTCATTCGAACCTGAATAAACTGCTAAGTAACGCAATTTGTAGTCTGCACAATGACGGGCCACAACCACTACACCATGTGCGCCCAGTTCCACCCGAAAGAAGATCTCGTAGTGTCAGCTTCACTGGACCAGTCAGTAAGAGTTTGGGATATCTCAGGCCTGCGAAAGAAGCACTCCGCGCCCACTTCCATGTCATTTGAGGACCAGATAGCAAGAGCGAACCAGAGTCAGGCGGACATGTTTGGTAACACCGACGCAGTGGTCAAGTTCGTGCTTGAGGGCCACGATCGAGGCGTCAACTGGGTCGCGTTCCACCCGACTCTCCCATTGATCGTCTCGGCTGGAGATGACAGGCTTGTGAAGCTTTGGCGAATGAGCGAGACCAAGGCATGGGAAGTCGACACCTGCCGAGGTCACTTCCAGAATGCTTCAGCGTGCCTCTTCCACCCACATCAAGATCTCATACTCTCCGTGGGTGAGGACAAGACAATCCGAGTATGGGACCTCAACCGAAGAACGACTGTTCAATCCTTCAAGCGCGAGAATGACCGCTTCTGGGTCATCGCAGCACATCCCGAGATCAACCTCTTCGCAGCGGGACACGACAATGGTGTTATGGTTTTCAAGCTGGAACGCGAGCGACCTGCCTCGGCCGTCTACCAAAACAATCTCTTCTTCATCACCAAGGACAAGCACGTGCGGTCTTACGACTTCACCAAGAACGTGGAGAGCCCTTCGATGCTTTCACTGAAGAAGCTTGGCAGCGCATGGATCCCGCCAAGAACTCTGTCCTACAATCCAGCCGAGCGATCTGTGCTGGTCACTACACCTGCAGACAGCGGCATTTACGAGCTTATGAGCCTCCCACGAGATGCTTCTGGGGCTGTTGAGCCAACCAGCACTCACCGTGGCACAGGTAATTCGGCTGTCTTTGTTGCGCGGAATAGATTCGCAGTCTTCACCTCCGCGAACCAGCAGATCGATATCAAGGACCTCCAAAATGCGACTACCAAGACGATTAAGCCCCCTGCTGGTACCACTGATATGGTTTTTGGTGGGACTGGATGTCTCCTGCTCATCGCTCCAACCCACGTCTACCTGTATGACATTCAGCAAAAGAAGCAGCTTGCTGAGCTCGCAGTCGCCGGCGTGAAGTATGTGGTCTGGTCTGGAGATGGCTTGTATGCCGCGCTTCTCAGCAAGCACAACGTCACCATCGTCAACAAATCCCTGGAACAGATCAGCACTCTGCATGAGACTATTCGCATCAAGAGCGCCGCGTGGGATGACGCCGGTGTGCTGCTCTACTCAACTCTCAACCACGTCAAGTATGCTCTAATGAACGGAGACAATGGGATCGTACGCACTCTGGAGCACGTCGTGTACCTTGTCCGCGTCAAGGGCCGAAGTGTTTACTGCTTAGACCGTGCCGCCAAGCCCAAGGTCCTGACAATCGATCCAACCGAGTACCGATTCAAGCTTGCTCTCGTCAAGCGCCACTACGACGAAATGCTCAACATCATCAAAACTTCTAGCTTGGTCGGTCAAAGCATCATCTCGTATCTGCAGAAGAAGGGTTACCCCGAAATCGCTCTCCAGTTCGTCCAGGATCCTCAAACGCGCTTCGAACTTGCCATCGAATGCGGCAACCTTGATGTGGCAGTTGAGATGGCCAAGCAGCTTGACCGACCCAAGCTCTGGCAGAGGCTCAGCACTGAAGCGTTGGCACACGGCAACCATCAGGTCGTAGAGATGACCTATCAGAAGCTTCGCAATTTCGACAAGCTCTCCTTTCTTTACCTCACCACTGGTGACCAGGAGAAGCTCAACCGCATGGCGAAGATCGCGGAGCACAGAGGCGATCAGACAAGTCGATTCCAAAACTCCATCTACCTTGGCGATGTACAGAGCCGGATAGAAATGCTCAAGGAAGTGGACCAATACCCTCTGGCCTACCTGACTGCCAAGTCGCATGGTCTTGATGACGAGTGTCAGGCCATCTTGGAAGCTAGTGGGTTGAGTGAAGAGGACATCAAGCTTCCCACCCTCGGACAACCGAAGCCTGCACCCAAGGCCGTTGCGCCCACATTCAAGAGCAATTGGCCAGTAAGATCGACTGGTGTCAGCTCCTTCGAGAAGGCTCTCAATGCTGAAGACGGTGAAGTTACCGCTGACGCCAATGGCTACGCTGAGGAGGATCTCCTCGCAGAAGAAACCGCTGCTGCTGTCAACGGCGGTCTGGGCGATGCTGGCGATGACGAAGATGCTGCAGACGGTTGGGACATGGGTGACGAATCGATCCCAGAAGTTGAAGAGGATTTCGTCAACGTCGAAAGCGCAGATGCTGGTGCTGGTAGCAGCGAAGCAGATCTCTGGGCGAGGAACTCACCTCTTGCGGCAGATCACGCAGCAGCGGGCAGCTTCGATACCGCTATGAACCTGCTCAATCGTCAAGTCGGCGCTGTCAACTTCAAGCCACTTGAGTCTCGGTTCATGGAGATATACCAGGCAACACGGACCTACCTGCCTGCCAACTCTGGCATGCCACCTCTGGTGAACTATGTTCGCCGCACACTAAATGACACCGACTCACGCAAGATTCTGCCACTGATCACACGGGATGTTGAGTCAGTGCTTGCTGAAGAGATCAGAAAGGGCAAGGAATCGATGCAGAGCAACAAGCTTGACGAAGGTGTCGTCTTCTTCAAAAAGGCACTTCTGCTCCTCATGGTCAACGCTGTTTCGTCGCAGAGCCAGGCTCAAGAAGCGCTAGCAGCAGTGCAACAGGCCGCACAGTATGTGCTAGCCATGTCCATTGAGACCGAGCGCCGAAAGGTCGCGGGTGCCTCGACCGACATTAGCAGTCTTGACGATGCCGCCAAGAAGCGGTGCTTGGAGCTTTCGGCCTACTTTACCGTGCCTGAGATGGAGCCCAAACACCAGACCCTCGCATTGTTTTCGGCCATGAATTTCGCGAACAAGAACAAGCAGCTCGGAAGCGTGTTGAACTTTGCGAATGCGCTGATCGAGCGCGGCACGAACGCCAAGTTCAAGGAGACCGTAAGTGTTCTCGTCGCAAATCGGCGAAGAGTAGATGACTAACAATTTTCTACAGGCAAAGAAGATGAAGGCCATCGCAGAACGCTCGCCCACCGACGCCATCGAGATCGAATACGACACATTCAGCGAATTCGACATTTGCGCCGCATCATATACACCCATCCACGCTGGCGAGGCAAGCACAAGCTGTCCTTTCGATGGCAGCAAATATCAACCGCAGTATAAGGGCACGGTGTGCAAGATCTGCGAAGTTTCTGCTATTGGTGCGCCCAGCAGTGGTCTGCGGTTGACGGTGTAAACGGACGGATTGATGTGAGCGTGGAAGGGAAGGGAAGCTTGGTGTCAGGAATATGCTGGCTGCTCAGATGCAATAAGCGAGGGATAAAAGCTGGGCGTCTAGAGAACAGCACGTCTTTTGAAATCCTACCTAGCGAGCATCTATGAATTGAAATGGAAGGCATGAGTAAACAGTAAGTATCCGTCCGGCTTCTGTCGTTGCTGCTGTCAATTCGCTACCCATCACCATGCGCTTTGCTTGTGCGCTGAATTCCCGCCACGCTCGTTGCTGCAACAGACTACAATGCTCGTCCATCGACCTTACCAAGCTCTCGCCTCCCTTCCTACATCTTCTTCGTTCACGGTAGCGCTCGACAAATTTTAATATATAAACAACTTTGCGTAGGAAGAATTTGCAAATTTCGTAGACGTGGTGGACTGATGCAGCGCTACATGTAAGATCCTCATTATGTATGATTCAGTGATATATAAATAAAGCCGTATTAGAATTTTGATTTTTCCAGCTCTTTCTACCGTGTGCCCGTGCGAGAAGGCCCCTTCATACAAGCAAGCAAGGGATTCCACGATTACGAAAGACGAACCCAAGGGTATATATACCTCCCAAACGCCCGCATGCATCAATGCCTCCTCGTCCTCCTCCTCACAAAAGCCACCTAAGCCTTCCCCCCACCCGCACCCCCCTTCCTCTTCCTCTCTCTGATCGCCCCCTCCATCCTCAAAATCATCCCCTTAAGTCCCACCCCCCTCTCACAATTCTCTTCCAACCAACCCTCCATCCTCTCACGACAAGACTTTAAAGAATTACAAATCGGCATCGTACCCACCCCCTCCTCCTGGGCGACAGGATTCAACAACACAGAAAAAAGCTCCGCCCAAATCTCCGTCTGCCAATACCGTTTCAACGCCTCACGAATCCGATAACATTTCCTCGCACCACCCAACGACGACGACCCATCCTTCTTCTCCGCCGCCAAAACCTCCATATACCTCCCAAAAAGCAGCGAATGCACAATCCCCGCCAAACCGAAGTAATCAATCTGATAAGTCCAAGGCCTCAACTCCCGCATTTCGGGACAATCGGCCTCCGAAGTTTTCCAGTCGGCGATGAAACCTACATCCGGAACGAAATTCTTCATATCGATGCCGCGGCCGAAATCGATGAGGGTGATGCCTTTGCTGGACCAGCCGTGGGCGCCCGAGGGGAAGTAGGTTGCGTTCCAGTCGGTTTCGAGGGAGGGGTCGTCGAAGCGGATGAGGATGTTGTCGGCTTTGAGGTCGCCGTGGATCAGGGAGTTGGAATGTAGGGCTTCGGTGACGCGGAGGAGTTCGATGGTGAAGAACATGGCGAGCATTTCGTCCATGCCGCCGCCGTTGCCTGAGTCGAGGCGCGCGATGTTGACGAGGTCGAGGAGCGTGCCTTGGTCGCGGAATTCTTCGACTAGGAAGCATTCGTCGCGGAAGAGATGCATTTCGTGGGCGCGGACGATGGATTCTGCGGCGCGGGAAACGCCGAGACGGTGGTGTGTGGCGCGTAGCATGTAGAATTCCCAAGTCGAAGGCGGGTCTTCCATCTTGATGGCTTCGAGCGGTTTGCGGTGGGTCGCTTTTCCGAGCTTCGATGCGGGGGGTGCATTTTCATCGAGGAGTAGAAGTTCTTCTTCATGCGAGACTGTCGCGGAACTGTTCTCGATCAAGTACACAGGAGCGAAAGTACCGGCTCCGAGCTCTCGTTTGACCGTGTAGCAGCCTTGTGCGTGAGGGAGCTCGATTATGGGAGGGATGGAGACAAGCTTCTCCTGACTCTGACTCTGGCTGGTTTTCAGCTTCGCCTGCGACTTGATCCACTTCTTGATCTCGGTCGTCTTTTCCAAAGAGATGTCGAGATCTTCGTAGTAGCCTTC